CTGTGGCTGAAGTTCTTCTCTTAAACGGGAAGGAAAGAGGATGTGGAACATGGCCTTGGCAGGCGTATGGTACAGGAGAGAGAGGGGACCCTGTCCAAAGGCACCTAATGGGATTGTTGGCCATAGCTCACGACGCAAGCAGCACCACCCGGCTGGTGTGCTGGCAGGTCCCTGCTGTGATAGGGCTCTGCAGGGACTGGTGGGATTTGAATCAGCACTAGAAGGGAGAAGGTAGTTAAGGAAAGAGACACACAGGTAAAAGGACAGCAGAAGGAAAAGTGAAAGAAACACAAAAGGGAGATAAATGAGAACAGGCTGATGCATCTTCCACACACAATGTTCATGCTCAGGCAGCAGTCTGATATTTAGGGTTTTCTCAGTCTGATATTTGGGGTTTTCTCAGTTTCAGCTCTGTTCTGCCTTACCTACCCACCTACTTCTTGGGCTTTGTCATCTCTTTACAGTAACCTGCTCTGCCCTGTCTTATCCACATCTGCGGTACAGATTATGGTGGGAACGTGGTGTTCTTTGAGCTCTGCTGTCATTATAACTGCAAGGGAGTCACCTCACTTCAATCTCATACTCACATGGAAAATCTTCCTCTCAGTTAATAGCAAGCACTGGAAAAAAACCTGAAGAAAACATTAAAAGGCATAGATCTGAGGCCCTCATACACAGGCATTTTGGAAGCACAGGTTCTAAGCCCTATTAATAAAATATTTGCCAGATGAGTCAGGAGGAGGGGAGAGGTCACTGGCAAAAAGCTCTGCAAAACATCCATAACAAAGTGAAAAACAACCAGAATTCAGGAGTTTGTACCTCTTTCTACTTTTTTACAGAAATACTTATTCCAGACACACTCTTCTAGGAAATATGGCCCCTATCTCTTTGAAACTGTCACCCAGACATTCACAGACCAGAGTTTCTGTTAAAAAAAAAAAAAGCAAAAAGCAAAAAACTAATTTATTAGGATCTTTTGCATAGGGTAATGCTAACGTGGGGAATCAAATCTCTTGGGCAGGATGGTCACTGACTGTCCAGGTGGCAACAGGAGCCTCCATTGCAACGGTCTTTGCAAAAATGTCTTCAGCTAGAGCAGATGAGACTCTCTGAATTGTTGTTCTACTGAATTCTCAGAAACCAGGTGGTCCTACGTGCCCAGCCCACTACATGTCGTGATCAGTTGGTATTGATTATTATAAGCTGTGCACAAAACACCTCTTAAATGTCTTAACTATGTACACAAGACTGTCTCATATGACCGTTTCTGCATCTGCAGGACCAGTTTCTACTGACCATTTACAAGTAACTTATCCGAGTACAGTTCAGTCCATCCTACAGCAGGAACTGTGTAGGGAGGCAGGAGGGAACACACTAGGGTGCCCAGGTTCTTCAGCCACAATGTCAATCAATGCATTTAAGCATAGAAATAGTGCCTATCAGCTGACCTGAACACAGCAGGGACTGCCTGGGGGAATCTTCAGGACTGTCAGAAAAATCCCACCTGGAGATCTCCTCTAAGAATTAGTCAAATGCTTTCCTGTGAAGGTAGCTAGGGTTTCAGACAATTATCTTCTCTTGGGTCAGTCCTTTGTCTCAAATCAGGGCATTGTCTCATCTGTACAAGGATTACCTGGGAGGGTTCCTGGGCCATCCAGGGAATTAATAACTAAGTAGATGTGGTGTGTACACAGGCACAACTTGAAACACAGCTACACCATTACTGTGACTACAATTTCCTTCTTATATCAAAATCATAACTCAAATTCCATAGATTTTGACACAGTTGTACTGTCTATTTTTATTTTATTTGAATAAAAATGGCTTTGTGCTTCACACTCTACAAGCCCCTGTTTTACTGGGAAAATGGGAGCTTCTTAGTTTTCACAATGGTCTTAGGCAGTACCTCCTCACTGTGGCAGAGGACCTATTTTCTTGCTCCTGCCTGTGTTAGATTCTTTCCTAACACCCATCTGCTCTCTTCTTTGTGACTCCTTTCCTTTCACTTTCTGCTTTTCTCTGTTCAGATATCTCACCTACCTGTCTTAAATACCATTTCATTGTGTAGATCCTGTGCCAGTTACTCTGTTTTACTGTCTGTAAAACCTGTTCCTGTCAGAGGCATCTTTTAGATTTCTTCTTCTTCCTTCCATTTTCTCCAAGCTTTGGTGTCCCAGTTCTGAGGAGTTTCCTCATTGGCCCTCAACCCTTCTGCCTTCCAGTCCTGCTTGTATCCTCCTCCTTCTCCTCACTCTGTTTACATTGCCCTAAGCAGTGAGGAAGTAGTGCTTATGCTGTTGCTTTTCCACACATCAGATCACTACTACTTGTACACTAAGGTCTTTTTCTGCTTGAAAGGTGGAGAAGCTGGCAGGGAAGGCAATATTTATCAGAGAAACATCCTTGCTGTGTGTTAGGCAAATTGTAAGGCAGTGGGCATCCCTTTGATTTCATGCTCAGCTTTCATCTCTGTTTATGTACTTGAGAAGGAAAAGAGCACAAACATGGAATGGGAGCGAGGAAGTAGTGCTGTTTTGTTACTCATGGGATCGTGGGCACTGACAGAACTGGATTATGGTCAGGCTAGAAAGCTGTTATCTACAGAGTAATAATGATATTCTGTCACAGTTCTGACTTGTTTGTACTGTAAATAGAGAGTGATGTTCCCAGCAGTCAAATGGGTGACTCCTGATTTTACCCTGTCTAACTGCAGTTATATCTACTCTGCAATCCAGATGTTCTGATTTCAGCTTACACAAGTGCAGACAGCTGCCCAGTACCTTCCCAGCTGGGTCAGGGCAACCTGACTGCCACAGCTCCAATTGCTTCCAAAGTCTAAATTAGATAATGACCTGCAGTCACCCTTTTGGATTGCAATGTAGACATAGCCTGAAACCAAATCTAACCAAATCAGCCTGTCTGGAGTGGCCACTTTCCTCCAGTTTCTGTTGAGCAGATACCAACGGCAGTGGAAAGCTCTGGCTGCACCACTGTGCTGCAGAGCTGCAGCTGAGTTCCAGCACAGAGCACTGAAAAGGCAGAGGCCCTTCTTTCTGCGAGGTGCTCCCCAAAACATCTGGACAGTCATCTCTGGCATGAAGCTCCTTGGGAGCCCTGCAAGCCACCCGCAAGTGAGGCTACACCTTCTTTCCACCTTCTGCTTTTATTTAAAAACGAAGAAGAGGATATATAAACCCCACTAAACTAAAACAAACACTTGATTTGAAATGCAGATTTGCACCACCTCCCAGTATATGATTTCTGTATACTGTGTCTTTTATAATGCATGTTTTTCCTGCCTTCCAGACAAATTTAGAAAGGAAAAATTTTCACACCAATATATGGAAGCTTAACCTCGCACCAACCTTAATGGAAGTTGCATGAATAAATCCCTTTACAACGTTTGTATCTCTAAGGGTTTGTTATCTAAACTACCTACAAACACCAACTTTTTGTAGTTTGCTCCTATGCATGTGAGCAATTTAGCAGTTTGTAACATTTCAGCACAAGGCATTTTATGTGACTCAAAAATATTAAGAATATTTGGAACAGAGAAGTAAGTTTTTGCACTGGTTATTAGTACATGCTGGGATATCATGCCAAGCTAAAGTATAATTATCTAGTGTAAATCTACAGTAATATTCAAGCATGCAAAAGCTATTTGTTAAGCAGTTATTGGATTAAATATGCATATTATATCTTGTATAGAGGGCATATCGAATGCATAGCACTAATGTTGTCTAAGCAGTTGCATATAATTTTCAAGTGGCCTTTTGAAATAAAGGATTAGCCCATTCACTAGAAAACACAGACCATATGCAGAAAGAACCCTTTTTCCCTTTCTGCCAGGAGTTTAAAGTGACTGACATTTTCTGACTAGGATTTTCCTCATAACAAAACACTGTGGTAGTTGTACATTGTTATACAGAGTAATCAGAAAGAATCAAAATAGTTCTGAAAATGCTCAGCCACTTCTGTAAGATTACCATTGGGTTAGATGTTTGGTAAACCGTGTTAATATTGAACCCTTAGGCACTGGAAACACAGAATTACCAGAAAATCTTAAATTACCAAGGAACCCTCAGGTGAGCGATGCGGTGACTGTGGGATAAGATGGAGTGCAGGGGAAAAGGCTTAAAAAACAAACAAACGGAAAAAGACGAAGGAGGTGCAAAGGAAGCAAGAACAGGGGAAGCTCCAGCCCTGGCAGAAAGCTCAAGCTGCCTACCGGGCCCAGTGGCTGCAAGAGATGGGAGACACAAGGGACAAATCGGGGTAGAAGAGAGAGCTTAGGAAAGCTGGCTCTGCTACCTACAAGCTTCTAGTGTCTCTTCTGAGTAAAAGATAGACTCTAATTTTTGCCTTCGAGGTAGTTTGGATAGATTAAAAAGTCCTTCTATATAAATGAATTAAGGAGAAAAAAGTATTTATGTATTGTTTTGGCTTGGGAGTGTGCCTTTGTTCCAATAGATTTTCCTCTATTCTAAGCAGATATCAAGTTGCAGAAGTCTTTCCTTGCCTTGTTTGCTTTTCTTACCTGATAGTTTCCAAATGCAATTGTCTATTTTGGCACCAGGTTAATGACACAATGGAAATGGCTGTTTCCAGTAGAATAATGCTCAGTGGAACATAGTAGAGATGGAAAACAGTAAATTGTTCCTTCACAATAGCCAGACATATAGGGCATTTCTAACATAATAGTACTCTCAAACTGGTGTCGGTTTTAAGACAAAACCATTTTACAGTAGAATATGCTTAAGAGACTGTGCTTGGGCCAATCCTGATTTTAGCTGGCTTGGTATAAAGCAAATGACTCTAGTGTAGTTTCTCTGCTTGTTTTAAAAATCTGACTGCTCTCACAGTATCACTGCAATATCGTGTGTGCTCTTACATGTTTACTTTCTGAGTGTCTCTCCACTCTTCCTTCCCTGGGAGAGGTCTGTATATGTATTGGAGATACTGGAATATGTATCAAACCAACGTGTTGTTTATTTTATTAGGTTTTGAATTTTTTGAAACAAGTGCCAAGGACAACATTAACGTCAAGCAGACATTTGAGCGACTCGTGGATATCATCTGTGACAAAATGTCGGAAAGCTTGGAGACAGATCCCACCATTACTGCCGGCAAGCAGAACACACGGCTAAAGGACACCCCCCCTCCACAGCAACCCAACTGCGGCTGTTAATGCAGCCATCAACCAAGGCAGCTCCGGTCTGTTCTATTGCCAACAGAGTATTTATGAATGGTCTATATGCCTTTATTTATACTGTCTTATTAAATTATTTGGGAGAAGAGTCTTTTATTTTAGATCAACAGCTGGTTGAGTATGTGTATGGAGATGTTAGCATTAGTTTGTGAGGATGATCCTTTTTTAGCATCTGGCTTTTGCATGCAGGGTGGCTATTAGTTTCTCTTTTCCTTTTGTTGTTTTACATTACACTTACTTCAGCTGGTGCAATGTCCTCAGATCACATTTGCCTAGAATTGTTTCTTGCTTCTTCAGTTTCAAATGATATGCTTGAATCCTTAGGGTAGTGGCCAAGGTATTTCAGAATAAGCTTCCTGAAGCTACTTATATTTTTTTCGTGACTGAAAATCAATTTAGAAATATTACTCTAGTGAGCTAATTGCTCATTCTGTCCAGAACATTTGTACAAGGGAAACTTCCTGGAGCATAATGCCTTGGCAAATCTGAGCTCACTTATCTTACACACCATGCCTGCTTGGAAACGGCAGGAGTTAGAAAGGGCAAACCTCCAGCCTAGCCAGACCCAAAGCTCCCAGGTTTACAGCAAAGAAACCCCCTGGGAGTTTCCCGCTAAGTGTGGGTGTTCAGTCCAGATCATCAGAGATATTAGGCACTTCATCCTGTTTAGACAGCTAATATATTTACATTTCCATGGGAAGTGCATGCCTAATATCTTTCTGAAACTGAACTTAATTTGTGGTTGCATCATTAGAGAGAATCTGCCAAGATCTGCCCCAGTAGAGGAGGGCTGACTAACTCTTTTCAATTCTACCTGCGTTAGGTAATAAAGTTCTGCTTTTACCCCGACAAAGCCAAATCCATTATGCTCATATTTATAGCCAAAAACTGTCCTGTCATGTTGCTGTCAAATCTGCATATTTAAGCTTTCAGGAATTTCATCTTCCATTCAGTCACTGAGAAACATCACTACACTGACTACAAAGGCCAGACCCATCATAGAGATGCTGCTGATGTCAGTGAGTTGGAGTATGACTTCATTTTTACTTTGCTGAGGGTATTTTTTTTGACAGGACAATCAGAAATTCACAAGCTTTTTAAAAGCTTTAGGAGTAATAAATAATTATCAACATTTCTGGAGATAGACTGAATAAAATCATAAACTCAGCAAAAGGTTGTGAGACAGCAGAATACAGTCCACAAATTCTTTCTTTAATAAAGTGTTAAAATAGTCACATGCCACAATGCTAAAAAGTACTCACCGTAGTAATTAGAAGGCAGTTTCTTACGTCTGTGCCCTGTGGTATACTGCTTTATTTGGGTCACAGTGACATTTTTTAACTAAATAGCGTAATTGAGAAAGCACTAACTGTTTTATTGTACCTATTAGACAGGCTTTAGGATGAGGCTGACATTTCTCAAACTGTCTGCAACAGGAAAAAAAAAAGGAAGAGAAATGAAAAATGAAGGCAACACTAGGTAATGTAAGTTGGCAGCAACTGCAAAGAAATCCCTTTTCACATATTACTTTTTTCAAAGGTAATTTATATAAACTCCTCAAATACAGTAAGGGAAAATGGACACTTTTTCATTGGTTAACTAATATGCATAAACTCTAACATGGTGAAAACCACTTCTAAGCAAGGCATGTAGACACATGTAAAATGGGTGTGCCATCAGGGCTTTACTTTGACTGTATAACTTAAATTATAAATGTATTCTCTTCATTCTAGGGTTTTAAACCGTGTCAGTGTCCTGTTAGCTAGTACCTTTGGCAACTATTTTCCTCTTAGACATGGAGGCTGAACATTCATTCATTTACTTCCATGAAGAGAAAGCACTGTGCTCTTTGGGGCAGATGAGCAATCAGGTAGAAGAGGCATGTGCTACCCCAGCCTTAACCCTGCGTCTCTCCAGGGACACTGTTCTTCTCTCCCCCATCTAAGATAGCACTTTGGTAACTGTGGTGTGAGACCTTCAGCAATATGCCTTCACCCACCAGGTGCCAACTGCTTTGGAGGAACTGAAAAGAAACTGAGGGAGTTTTGTGTGAGAGGGTGGTCAGCTTTCCACCGTATGCTTGCTATGTGTAGTAATGCCTGTTGGAGAAAAGGGAGCAAGGAAACCTTGAGACAGCACTCAGCTGCAGCCCTCGTTCTTTCAGAAAATGTGTAGATTGTATTATTAGTCCAAACCTTCCTCATGCAAGGAAGGCAAGGGAAAAGGAGGACACTGTCGCATCTTAAATCAGCCTGCACATGTCCTGGGACATGCAGCTCTGCTGCAGGTGCAAGTATTCTCCCAGCTTTGCTCTGGGATGATGGCTGCATGGCCATCACCGGTGCACATTGTAACAAGACCTTCTTTCAGCCCCTTGCAACAGCCACATCTTGCTTGCGCTCAGTTGCAATGAATTCCAGACCTTCACTGCCTCCTTATAGCAATGTAGACTCTAGTCAGTGGTGGCAACTAGAAGAGTAATGTGTGTTTGTAGTATAGATCTTTTTTAAGAAGTTGAGTGATAGATTGATATTTCTTTACTGAAATATGAAGAACTAATTGCTTCTCATTTTGCATCAAGGGACTGGACAGAAGAGTAACAGGGAAATCAAAGAGGGGGAATCTTTCCTTCTGTTTTTTGAGATAACTAACCTCCCAGACTTCCCATCTGTCTAATCCTCTGCATGCAATGAGGAGGAAGGGGGAAGCTGCAACAACACTATTGTTCTTTACGCTGGCAGCCATGGGTTCGGACGAAAAGGCTCATCTGAGGTATAAAAGTAGTAGAACCCACTCGCTAGATAAGAACTCCTAAGACCTTTTTATTGACATTCAGGCACTACCATAGAGTTTAGAATTGATTAGATTAATTTTTAAAGTGTTCACATCAGTTCCTTGGAGGTTTTCAAGCCCAGACTGGATAAGGCCCTGAGCAACATGATCTGGCTTATTAGTTGACATTGTTTTGAGCAGGAAGTTGGACTAGATGACCTGTTGGAAGTCCCTTCCAACCTGATTTATGCTAGCATAAGAACAGGAAATTACTATGAAATTACAAATATCTGGATGCTCAGGCAGACCTTTTCTGAACAATCTCTGTTACCTAGTGTTAGAAAACTACACTTTGATTTTCCATCAGGTTGAGTAGGCTGGCTTTTGCAACCATGTGTTTCGCAGCAGTCCTGAGTTTTTTATTATAAATTTTGTTCAGATTTAGACAAGAAGCATCATGATCGCAGTACCCCTCCTTTCAGTTCTCAGCTGGAACTATTTTAGAGAAACCCCAAAACCACAGTCTTTTTCAAAGTAATTTACTGTTGCTTCCTCAAACATTCTAAAACTTTAGTGTGAGTTCTGGGGGAACTAGCAGTTCTACTTTAAATTATGTCTTGGCCTGTTTGATATGGTTGGATTTCCAAAAGCAGTTTGTGTCGGTCTAATTCTGTTACCACTGACTTCTGTGATAGAACAGCAATTTTCTTAAATGAAAAGCGACTAGTTAGCGACTACTGAGCACTTTCAGAAATCCCATCCCAACCTTATCAAGGTCAAGATTTAAACATGCAGTCACACATATCTAATAGCCACTGATTATGAGCTAGTCATTGGAGAAGACAGAAGCAGAATTTGGTAAGATCCCTGATCTAACCACAGCTGTAGCAGAGTTCTGTCAAGAGCAAGTTCCAGGCTAGCAAAAGATACATTTTAGTGATACAAGAGGGATGGATCATTAAATTGACTACCTGGAATAAGACAGCCCAAACTATTTTCAGCCTCGTCACAATTCCTGATGGAAAAGCACTCACATGGTAAAGCCCAGTACACTTTGCACCAATTTGTTGTCACTCTCAGCACAGAAATAGGACCAAATGTCATGGAAGCCAGCCACAGGTAACCACTTCAGCTGAGGTTTGGTCAGATGCAGCAGTTGAGACACAGAGCGTGTCAAATTTCTGAGAGATTAGATGCCTCTCGGCAGAGGGTCCTGAGCTCCATAGTGCCAGCTGGACTAATACTGTACAACCCATTTTCTGAGTTATGATCTAGACTAATAAATACTATTAGTGGCAAGCTAATCCTGTGCATGGCTAGTACACCAGCCTTGTCTTGCTCTGACAGTATCTTGCTTGTTGCATGATCCAACTAGCACAGGGAAAATTCCAGGGGAGCGCCGGGGAGCGCAGCCGCGCCAGCACCGGCAGCGCTCCCTGGCCTGCCACTGCCAGCTAGTAAGCCTTGCAGAGCTGAACCTGCACATGCATGTTGGCAATTCCGATAAGAGTTCATGTACACAAACATCCTGGTCCTTACAGAGCTATTAACATGTTACTCTATTAATTCTTTATGGTTGGTTTGATTTAGTTAGACCTATTTGTTTGGTGTTTGAAATACATACCAGCCAGCCTGATTTTCTGTCAAAAAATACTCTTTCTCTGAACTGCTGTGTACGTGACTGTTACCTGGAACTGTTTGTTCCATTGTGCTTATCCTTAATGTATGCATAGAGAAACTACCTGAGCAACAGTTATGTGGCCTTTCCAGAGCATCAGTCTGAAAAATAAGGTTTTCTTCCCAGTCTGCTCAGCTCTGTATATCCAGCTGTACTGCCTGAACCGTCTTTATTTTAGGAATGAAGTGCTATTTTATGGTGCACAAAGTCTGCTGGAGTTTGATCCTAACTTTGACAATGCTTTGAGTTCAATTCTCTTTTTTAGGAAACAAATGATGGTACAAATTCTTTATCTGATGATGACAGCTTTGCTTCTTCAATAGCAGACAAAAGGTGCTGTAGTTACATTTCAAAAGAGGCCCCAAAAAACTCAAAAAACCAATCTCCCCCTTAAACTACTCTTTACTGCATTCATTCGTGAGACACAAGTTTTGTTATTGGCATTTTTAAGGGCATCAACTAAATAACTGCTCTGCTGTTAGGACAGATCCCTCCTTGGCCTGTTTCATAGGTAGCCATGCAGTATACAAGCCAAGAGTCTCTTTAGCGTGACTTGTTCAGAATTTGTGGCATAAAGCCATGAGGTTGTAAATCCTCATAGGCATACCCTCAGGGGGTGTAAAGCAACATACCTTCACTTATGCCAACGGGAGGTATGAATTTTGTTGATTTACACCATTTAATCCATACACATAGTCTCTTCAGTACAGTTTGACTCCAGATCCTCCAAGGTTCTTAATTTGGTAAGGTCTCAATTTAAGAGGCAACTCAGTTTCAAAATTTTAATTTTTTTGTCAGTTTTCTTTACTAAATGAGTTGGGAAAATGTATTTCATCCTTGTGATTTAAGCTTTTTTCTGTTTTTCTTCTTTTTTTAATTTTGTTTATCCATGGATGTTCACTCAAGCAGAAATTGCAGCTACACACGTATAGTATGCATACACAGCAGTATGTCTTTGACACTCATTCAGTTCCCTTGTAGGAACTGAAGTAGCAGTTCAGTGCTACTTGTTCATGCTCAGTGCAGCTTTCCCTAAATACCATAGTGGAATTTAACCAGAAATTCCCATTAGCACTAGAAATCAGCTGGGTTAAATTTACAGACTGTAGGGTTACTATTATCCACAGTTCCAGCAGGCATCAATGGCATGTCATTTATAGAGTAAGGTATCTGGTATTTGATTTTGGGGGAAGCATACATTCTAATCTTCCCATAACTTCACGATCATGCGTAACATGCAGAAATAAAAGCTAGGGATTGCTTACTACTTTTAGTGATAAATTTCCTTGAGTAATCCTGACATGTACCTGCAACTGGTGTTAAATGAAATCTGTCTGTGTTGTAATTCTCATTTAATATGTTGTCAATAATGTCAAATGTGTCGTGGTTCAGTTGGACTATCAAAATATGTAATCTATATACTAGTGTTTGTGAAACTGAAATGTCTTAAATGTTGCATGAAAATATGTTATAAAAATAGATATGTTTTCTATTTTTTGAATACCTCAAACCTGAGGGAACATGGGCCAATAAGTGCAATATTTAATGACTTACTCAGTGTATATAAACTTGTGTGAAAGGGAGAAGTGTCACGTATGTGTGATAAGCTGTTGATGATGCCTGTGTGGCTTAAAAGTTTTCTAGTAGCTGTGTGTGTCTTGTAGTAAAATTTATATAGTAAATGCTTTACCAGTGTAGTGTAAGAATACTCTATTCTTAAGCCATTTAAACTATTTTTCATATGTGAGACAATGGTAAAAGATATCTATATGTTTACTGCAAGTGCATGTCAATTTTACTTTTAGAATTGTGAGTGTCCTTTTCGAAAATTATATAATGTTATATTGATAGTAGTGGGGCAACCCTTTCAGTCAGAAGATACTTGTAGCCATTTCTATCCTATCCGCATAGATTTTTAAAGCATGTTCTCCAGAAGCATTAAAGGAACCTTCCTAGAATTCAGCACTTACAGGGAGTTATTTACTCCTAAAAGAACTGGTTACATGCTCTGTCTGCCTGCAGTGCATAATATCATGTGGAAATGTTTTCTTTAATCTGATACAGTTAATACATAATACTTACCTGAAATATTAAATACGCGTATCCAGTACTCTTGCAGATGACTTGGTAAGCTTCAGTGGGTGCCTTCAGTTCACATTTTTGGAAACAGTTTGTGAGTCACAGTCAAAATGGTCCAGCACAGCGGATGGTGACCTTAATCAATCTTCTGTCCATTAAGTTTCTTAACTGCCTTTAGATCCTGAAGGTGGAAAATGCCTTCCTAAAATACTGACCCAGACTCTTCCCTCCACTGTTACCCAACTCTCAAGTGCTGAACAACCCTACTGTTAGCAGTAAAGTTGCAGTACATTATGGGAACAAAATGCAGCCCAGAACCCAACTGTGCAACGAAAAGGAGGCATCCAATCATTTCTTGTTCCTTTCCTGTTAGCCTTACGTATTTCTCATAATTCTTCAAGCATGAGAGTAAGCCTGTCTCTGTTCAGTAAAAATCTTAAGTACATTTGTGGCTTTAAACTCTGAATCCCTGGACTGCCAGGGGTTCCTAGCTGTGCCTAGAGACTCTTCAGAGAAGAAGCTGATTCTGTTAATTGTTGCTGCATCTCTGGTTTCAAAGGAACGAGACGTGCTCTGGGAATTTTCTAAATAGAGACAGGCCACTGAATCTCGGCCAAGGAGAGTAACCATTTTTGCTGAACAATTTTCCCAACAAATTGTTTTCATTAGTACCACACTAAAAGGTGCATAAGTAGATTTTGAGTTTGATCTGATATATTTTTGTGACAATGTAGAAGGTTGACTTAGGCTTTTTGTTTTTTTAATTAACCTGATCAGGAAAAGAACTAAACTCTAAGGCCTGCTGGAAACCAGTAGCGTGGTTTCCTTTACTATATCGTCAGATAATTTCTCTGAGCAAGCAAAGTAGCCAGATTGCATTAAGGAGCACACAAACAGTACTTGCTATGACCTGAGCAGCTCTTAAAAGGCTTCCTTATTTCTATATTTTATGCTATGAAACCATATGCAAAATTTAATAGACCAGAGTTTAATGAAAATGTGTTTTGAGAGAGATTTAAGATTGCTTAAAGAAAAGAAAAAAGAAAAAAAGAAAATTCTGGATGTCTTTGCAGCTGAGCAGCAGACAAAGTAACTGTCATAATATGAGGTACAACTTAAATATAGATATACAGGCTGCCACAGGACTGAGGATGCATTACCTAGATTTTTTACTGCTAAGTGACCTGACTGTTCAAGGGCTGGCAGATAATTTTACCTGGTATTTTTATTATTCCTCAGAGACATGTGATTGCATAAACAAAAACAAATGCTTACCTTGAAAATATGTAGCTGTTCTGGCTTCCTCAAGCTGACTTACTTACTGACTATTTCTTGAAGAAAAGTTGAAGAACTTACTTGGAATACATTTGTGAGGGAGTGAGCCTCAATCCATCCCTCCTCCCCCAGCTATTACTGCAGTATAGTGACTGTGGTTCTAAAAAAAATATGTTAGTTTAAAATGCTGCCGGGTGACAAATGTTGTGAATCTTCTGCATACATCCATGGGAGCTCTTGTCTGAACGTGAAGTACAAGTTTTATCCATGTGCAGAGTTTTAATTCTATGTGGAAGTAGAGACTGTGTACTCCATTGGCTATTCTGTTTGTATGTGACTTCTGTATACCAAGTGGATTTTGTTTGTTTATTTTTTGTTGGAGTTTTTTTTTCCTTTTGCGATTACAATAAATATTCAAGAGACTATATTCATGAATTTCTCAGTTGTTGTGACATAGTCTTACCCTTCTCTTCCCTTTCTTTCTTTTCAGTAACAAAAAACTGTGAGAAAATTACTTCAGTTTTGACAAAATAATGGTCAACAATACCACATCAAGTTCGTTTCAGGACTATCCTTCAGCACCACTGATGGGTATTAGTTCTATCTTCATCCTGTAGAAATCGTTGGCAAATTTGCTCTAGCGTTGTGTAGGAGAAAGACTGCCCATTTGCCTACCAAAAGCGCAGTACACAGGCCACCATGGGACGTGGTGCTAACTTAGCAAATTCTTTTCACTACACTCAAACTGGTGAAAGGTTTTGTTGCTACGCGGCAGGGCTTTTAAAGTAAACTAAGAAGCCCTTATAAAACTTTCCTGGAGAAAGTAAAAAAGAGGCGTTTTGCCCCTGTGCCTGGGTACTTTTGCCTGAAAGCTACCTGCACTATCTGGACCTTCAGAGTACGTCACTGTGCTTGTCACAGCGCGAGGTCCCAGTCCACACAGTGCTCAGGCTGCAGAGTCCGTGCACAACAGCGCTGTGGCAGCCTACGTGCTGGCACTTGTGCATGAGATGAAGGCTTTTCTTTTTGATTTTCAGTGTGTAAGTTGTTAAGCAGCACCTGTGCCTTTTGGAAGCCTTTATTATTTGGCCAGATAACCTTAGGCTGCATGATCCATCTTAATCGTGGGGGTGGTATTTCACACACATTGTGGTATATCACTGCCCAGGAATTGCTTTTTTCTAGACGCACAGACATCCTTGTACTTGCTTGAGCCCTACTGTGACTTTTTTACCTTCCTTCCACATAAGTCCTAATCTTGCACCTTATCTGTTGAGCCAGTCACACTCACTGTCCCGTGTCCCACCAGCTCCTGCTGTCAAGCCCACCGCTTCCAGCAGTCCACTAGCAAACTGCTTTAGCTTATGTCCCCCCCTCACTATGGCACTATGTTTTGATCAAGTTCTCCAGACTTTCTAGCGTATTTACATCTCATCTGCAGAGTAAACATTGTTCAATGACTGCCCAGTTCTCCCTTAACATGAAGGGTTTACAAGCTTATTGTGCTGGACCCCGTATCTGTGAGTAGGTTTTGTTGAGGGGGTGAATCTGCATGGCTCACTGCTCTGACTCTTAGGCTTCTCTATCTGGCACTGGCTCATGTCATTGTATCACCTCTGCGAATGAAACTCCTGTCAGCTACCTGTTGAGGTTAGTTTCTTCTTCATCCTCTTTCCTCCTGTCATTGCTCCTTGAGATTGGTCCTAATATAGCTGCTCTGCCTGCTACGGTGAGGGGCAACAAGAAAAAGAGGGATGAAAGGGGTAGGACAGGGAAAAGGAAGAGACTGAATTCTGATATGGTGATCTACTAGGAAAAAAACTGTTTCAGCAACAAGTGTTTCTTGCTGAAGAGAACTCATTTTATCTTATTTCCGGTCAGAAGCCTGGAGCCAGAGCTTGGAAAGTTGCCAACTGTCAAAGCAAAAGATGTCAGCAGAGTTGTTGGAAAGGGGAGATTATAAGTGTTACACAAAAGATTCATGATTGAGTAAGAAAGGGCAAACGGGTGTGATTTCATGGTGAAGAGGGGCTGGATCATTTAGCAAGGGCAGCCACCAAAATCAAGAAGGACAAACTGTGTGCTCACGTATGACTGAAAGGATGCTGTGGGTTAATCAGAGAACTGAGACAAGTAAGCGCAGGGAGGGTTAGTTATTTTTGTATGGATTTGTGCAACTCTTGAGCTGTAAAGTGAAAAACAAAGGTGTCTTCAGAAATCTTATGACATGTCTTGCTATTTATATGTGTGTGTTTATGCCTATGCAATCACAGAATCACTGAATCACAGAATGGTTGAGGTCGGAAGGGACCTCTGGAGATTATCTAGTCCAACCTCCCTGCTCAAGCAGGGTTACGTGCAAAGCACATTGCCCAGGATCCCATCCAGACGGGTTTTGAATATCTCCAGCGAAGGAGACTCCACTACCTCGCTGGGCAACCTGTTCCAATGCTCCGTCACCCTCACAGTATAAAAGTTTTTCCTCAGGTTCGGGTGGAAATTCCTGTGGTTCAGTTTATGTCCATTGCCTCTTGTCCTGTCACTGGGCACCACGGAGAAGAGTCTGGCCTCATCCTCTTGACACCCTCCCTTCAGATACTTATACACATGGATCAGATCCCCCCTCAGGCTTCTCTTCTCCAGGCTGAACAGGCCCAGCTCTCTCCGCCTTTCCTCATAGGAGAGATGCTCCAGTCCCTTCATCAACTTGGTAGCCCTTTGCTGGACTTGCTCCAGTACCTCCATGTCTCTCTTGTAGTGGGGAGCCCAGAACTGGACACAGTACTCCAGATGTGGCCTCACCAGGGCTGAGGAGAGGGGCAGGATCACCTCCCTCGACCTGCTGGCAACACTCTGCCTAATGCACCCCAGGAGACCATTGGTCTTTTTGGCCACAAGGGCACATTGCTGCCTCATGGTCAACTTCTTGTCCACCAGGACTCCCAGGTTCTTCTCCATAGAGCTGCCTTCCAGCAGGTCAGCCCTCAGCCTGTCCTGGTGCATGGGGTTATTCCTCCCCAGGCGCAGGACCCTGCACTTCCCTTTGTTACACTCTGTGAGGTTTCCCTCTGCCTATCTCTCCAGCCTGTCAAGGTCCCTCTGAATGACAGCAAAGCCCTCTTGTGTATCAGCCACTTCTCCCAGCTTTGTATCATTAGCAAACTTGCTGAGGGTGCACTCTGTCCTTTCATCCAGGTAGCTGATGAGTAAGTTAAACAATATTGGACCCAGCAAGCTCCTGAGGAGCTAAACGTAGACCAGCAAGTTCACAGCTTACCTGGTGAACATTAGGAAAGGGTATGTTTGAAGCCATAGTGAACTCAAGTCATCAGTGGTAGGCACAGGAGATGGAAAGCTGGATTGAGGTACTATCATCTGTGATGTGCTAGGCAGAGGGTCTGTTTAGTCCCTGGTCCCACAGCACCTGGGGTCTGTCTGGGCTTGAGAGGCTGGAGGTGTGGCAGGACAAGCAAACACCCCAGCCTGACGGCCGACCCACCCCAGGCGAGAGCTCAGGCAGCTCTGCCACCCAGTGCAGGGGAAGGAAAACCACATCAGAGACTTTTCTAACAATGGAAAAAAGTGTGGAAGGGCCAAAACCCACTCCAAAACCCTGTTGTTAGGAAGATAAGAGCCTTCTTCTTGGAAGGTTAGAAATTGTAGTGCTATGCTCTTCCTTCCTTAGTAAAAGCTGTCCCGAGGAAGGATATGCAGGCCTTCGCCTAGGCAGGAATATGTTCTCCTGAGGCGATACCTCCTTTTCTGCATATCCAAACACACAAATAAGGACCCTGGCCAGGCAAGCCATCAGCAGGACACACAGACCTGATGAGGCAGTGCAGTTAGCCTGCTATGCCCTGGCTGGACGTAGATGGAAGTACACTCATACCAGAGTAACCTTGTTCTGTGGCCTGTGCTGGGTTGCTGAGTTTTCTAAGGCCCCAGGAAGTGTTTATGCACGTGTTTTAAACCAGTACTTGTGGTTAGAAAATAAGTCTATAAATAGCTTTAGAATCATTTGAGGATGCCACACAGGATGTCTACCTTTAGCCAGTCTCTTAAAGCTTTAATGTTTAAACAAGGTTTTAGGAAAGTAACTTCAAGCAGCCACCTTTTAAAACCCTGTCCTGCTTTTCTTTCATGAGGATGTACTCTAAGAGGAAAGCTGGCTACAGTATGTCTGCACTGTTACTGTTATCTTTAATACTCAACAAGCAAGAAAAGATCCAGCCTCTGGCCCCAGTGCTACAGGATCCACTGTACAGGTATTATTGTAGGTCTGCAATGCAACACTTCTCCCCAAAGGGAGCAGGCAGCAGCTTGTGCTGCTCCATACGCTCCAAACCAGAATTGCCCTGGGAACAGGGAGGGAGCAATTAGCTCAGGCAACATCTGGTGGGTGCCTGAGGTGGAATTTTCCTTCAGGCCTTCTCTTTTATTCCACTGGGGAACAACACCAACATTGTGCAGAAAATAAAGCCCATTTCAAATTACAATTTGTTTCATCTACTTAGTAATTAACAAGAGAAAGAGGAGCTCTCTGACATCTTCCTTGGATGAAGACACATAACCATCCACACGCCACCTGGCAAAACAGAAGAACACCAAGTGTATAACTAAAGCAGCACACAACAAATGTGCTTTGTGTTCATGCAGAGTATAAACATCTGCCCTAATGTTACTGGCAAGCCAGTTACACAACTCTTGCCAGTTCTTAGGGAATGGGGAACATGGAACATCTATGAGGATGGAGGTACTTGTTCAACTCTCTTCCTTCACCCCTGAAGCAACAGCACTCACCTTTGCTTTGCAGTACAGGCAGGGGGCTGCCCTGGCCCTGCTCCAGCCTGGCCATAGCCTTCTCCAGAGCTGCAGATTCAAATACCCATGAGGGTGGGCGATAGGTGATGTAGCACCAAGGGGGAAGGCGAATGCACAAGAGGTCCCCATCCCCATCCACGTTTTAAAAGAAAAATGAATTGTTTGATAGAGAATCTTCACTTTATCAGTCCCTCAGATGGCCATCTCAAGCCTGCAGGACAGTACCAAGATTCAGGGCAGGATGAGATGCAAGATTTCAGATATATCCTTCCCTTCTGTGCCTCTTGTGCTTCTGGCCAGCAGGCTGGCTGCTCTCAGCTCTCTTCTCAGGTGCCTCCTGCACCTCAGGTTTTAGGGAACGTAAGTACCTGCCTTTGGGATGAGGCTGCCAGCCTGCAAGTTGGGTGCCCTTTCTGAATTTGACCCCAACTTTTCTTCTACCAATTACTTACCCAAAGTACATAGTAGAGAGTTTTCCAATTGCATTAGCAGATGATAGTTTCATTATTACATTTCAGAGGGAGCTAGAAAGGCAACTTATTAACCTGCTAAACAATCTCTGTTGCATTATCAATCTTTGCTAAAGGTGATTCCCTCACGCACATTCCCATAAT